TCTGTGTATCACGACGAAGCTGTGGCTTACTGGGTAAGGTTCTAGCATTTTTCTCCTTTGGCAACTACATGGCATTTCTCTGACTCTGCCTATTCATTCTCTCTCTCTCTCTCTCTCTCTCTCTCTCTCTCTCTCTCTCTCTCTCTCTCCATATATATATTTCCCTCCAGCCTGGCTATATTCTGCCCTGCTATAAGCCAAAGCATCTTTATTCATTAGCCAATAAAAGCAACACATATACAGAAGGACATCCCACATCAGATGTCTGCAAAAATCTATCAACAGAAGGGCATCGTTAGCAGTGTCTCTTCTTGGAAGCCTCTGTGGACAGTCGCCTTCATGGCAAGAGCCACCACTGCTTTCTTGTTTATGACATGGGCTCCCAGCTAGATCAGAGCACAGTTGTAGCCCCACTCGGTGCTGTGGTATAATTCCTTTGTACACTGTGAAGGTTTGTCACTCAGATTGACTCAATAAAAAGCTGAACGGTCAATGGCTAGGCAGGATTTTCAGGGCAGGAAGGACTCAGAGAAGAAAGGCGGAGTCAGCAGCCAGGGCAGAGGAAGAAGGAGATGAACATGCATACTGAGAAAAGGTACCACCACATGGTAGAGTGTAGATAAGAAATACGGGTTAATTTCAGATGTAAGAGTTAGCAACAAGCCTAAGCTATCAGCTGAGCATTTATAGTTAATAATTAGTCTCTGCGTAGGTTATTGGGGAAGCAGCTGGTGGGACAGAGAAAGTCCACCTACAGCTTGGTGCCTGGTTTGAGTTTTAGTTTTATGATATTCGACCTGATAACTTATGGCCCGTAAAAGATTATCCAGAGTCTTTTTCTGGTCTTAGAATTAATATTCTCTTTATTAAAGTGACAAATTAAAGAACACATTATTTTTCCTTAAGGTTTTTGTTCAACTTAAAAGTCTTACTCAGGGCTACGGATACAGTTTCATGATGGAGGACCCACAGAGCATGTGTGTGACCCCAGGCTCAGTCCCTACTACTGCAGCTATGACCATAGCAAAAGGTTAGCTGGGTGTGGCGGTAAACATTGGTGAGCCCAGCAGTTGGAGGCTGGGACATCAGGCTAGTCTGGGCTGCACAGTGAATTCCACGTTGCTCTAGACTACCTAGGAGGCCTCTGTCTCAAAACAGACCCTGCTTGCTTTATAAATGGAGCATACTGTTTGTAGTCACCTTTGTGTGGCTTTGATTAATGTACGGCTACACAAATCTGGCTATTAGCCTTTAAAAAATTAAGATGCGTGTGGAAATATAATATATTCAGTTTTATGGTTAAGATTTTTTTGTGGTCTCAGTAAGAAACAAATTTCTTACCAATACTGGAGTAATTCCTATAAATCTAATAAAAGTATCTATAAATATGGTAAGCCTTAAGTTTTCAGAAGTGTTTCTAACACTGTTTATAAAGCTAAAATGATTTCTATTCAAGGTTGGAAGTCTAAATTAGCAACACATTTCAATTAAAATCACAAATCTAATCTGCTAGAGACCCTGATCCATCAAGTTCTCTTAAACTTTATACAGCCCGGAAATTCTGAGCAAGCTTTTTGGGTCATACACACATTAATACTACAGAGCTAAGTGATCAGTCTTCTCTGTGTTTAATCTGATACCTTTCCAGGGCTGAGACCACTCTCCCACGGTGACCTCCGTGCTGCCTTTCCCTGCCACGTGAACGCTTAGGGCTGCATTTCAGGTAGCTGAAGCTTCTCGAATAACAGAGAACCAGTGTCCTTCAGTGGAGCACAGACTTTGTCCCGGCCAGCTGGCACTGCTGTGACCAGGGGACTGTTCGCAGTGGCTGTAACAGGGCCTCTGCAGAAGGAAAATGTGAGGGCCACACAGCCCACAGGGACCTCGGGCATGCAAGTGGGGACAGCTCCCTCTCTGAGGAAAGAGTCTTCATGACTCTGATGTGCGGTGCGTATGTGTTCTCTGTAAGCCAGGGTCACAGCAGCTTCCAGACAGGCAGCTACACAATCAGGTTTATTCTTGGGAAACGACAGTACAAAATCTTGTGCAGGAAAACCACATGATGAAGGCCTCTGTGTGTGTTTAAATCTAGCAGATGTTCTAGAAGGAAGTGCAGCAGACTGATTATCACTGGAAAAAGCACCGTGGCTGGTGATGACGGCCAATGCAGACTTCAATTTTCAGCTCAAATAATTCATTTAGTTTTTCATTAAAATTATGACAAATGTCTTCAGTGATGAGTCACGCCTCACTCCTGTTGCACTGTGGCCAATGGAATTCGAAAGGAAGCACAAGGCTGGAGAGAGAGCTCAGCAGTCAACACACTGGCGGCTCTGCTCTTGTAGAAGAGCTGGGCTTGGCTCCCAGCACCCACACAGCAGCTCGCAAACATCTGTATCTCCATTTCCAGGGGATCAGAACCCCTCTTATGACTTCTCATGCACATACATAAAATTAATATTTAATTACTTATTTGTGTGTTTGTCTATGGGTATTTTACTTGTGTATATGTCTGTGCACTATGTGTGTGCAGCGTCCCCAGAGGCCAGAAAAGGGCACAGGACTCCCTAGGAATGGAATTATAGGTGGTTGTGAGCTGTCATGTGGATGAGGATTGAGCCTGGGTCCTCCAGAAGGACACTCCATGCTCTTAACCACTGAGCCATTGCTCAAGGCTCTACATAAATTTTCTAACCAAAAAGACTGGAGTGCTAGAACAGGAATTTGCTTTAACGGTGCTGTGCCCACGAGAGAAGCACAAAGCCCACATGCTGCACGACTCCATTCCCGGAAGTCTGACATACACACATCTGTGGAGGGAGGTGTATCAGAGGAGCTGCGAGAGACAGGGTGGGAGCTGCTCAGGACACACCTGCAGTGATGCCAATATCCATCTGGAAGCAGCTCGCTGTGGTGTAACTAATATCACTGGATTATATATTTAAGAATGGCTGCTGGGTATGGCAGTGTACACTTAGGACCCCAGTATGCAGAAGGAGCGTGAATTCAAGGACAGACTGGATTCTATAGTAAAACCCTGTCTCAGAACAACCCAAAAATAAATAATAAAAATAAACTAGGGCTGGTAAGATGGCTCGGTGGGAACAGACACCTGCTGGCAAGCTTGATAGTCTGAGTTCAGCCCCCTCGGAACCCACAGAAAAGGGGAGAACCATCTCCCACTCTTATCTATGAACCCCACACGTGCTGTGGCCTGGACGGATGGATGGACGGACACACACACAAATAAATAAATAAATGTAAAAAATAAACAAAATGGTTAACATGGTGACTTCTAAGTTGTCTATATTTTACTACAATAAAAAATAATAAACCCATGCAGGGTCTGTAATCCTGCACTTGGGAGGCAGAGCAGGGGAACCTCTGTGAGTTCCAGGCCAGCCCGGTCTACAGAGTGACACCTTCAAAATAAAATTTAAAAATAAACCATTTCAACAGATGATTAGTCCCAGAATGAACCTGAGGAGTCAGCTAGGAACGGTCTAGCATGTGGGGACAGGCAAAGAAGCTATCTGCAAGGTAGATACCACAGGACTTCAGTCATTTTAGCAGGAGATGCCTGGGAATAGCGCAGCCTCCCCACAGGGTTGTGGTGACAACTGTCTCTTGTCCCGAGAACCACATGGCAGCCTCTCATCACTGCTCACGTTTATGGGATGCCCAGAATGAGGACCTGAGAAGACGCTGGAGGAAGCAGCCTCGGGAAGTGCACTGCTGGCTATCACTAGAGTCACTTCAGGTGACTGAGTAGCAGGACCTAAGGAGGGCAGGGTCGCTGCTCAGCTGACAGACAGCAGCCCTGTGTACCCCACTCTAGGACTTATACAGAAGCCCTGCTTAACTGTCTTATTCATCTTGACTCAATTATTACCGACGCTCCCAAACAAGCCAGGGCCTTCCGTCCTGCTGGAGCCTAGAGCCCTTCTCTGCTTCTGGGACTGAAGCAAGGTCCACTTGTACAGCAGCCCTGAGGGGTGGGCAGAGCAAGGCAAACAGGGTCGACAAATTCACGTCTAGGAAATCCTAGAAGAGCAATGTCATTTGGAAACAGGGTCTTTGGGGCATGTGAGATGACTCAGTAAGAATACTTGCCAGCAAGTCTCAGTGCTTGAGTTTGATCCCCTGGACCCACAGAAGAGAACACACGGCAAGTTCTCCTCCAGCCTTCACATGTAGACCATGGTGTGTACACACACACAGAGAGAAAGAGAGAAAGAGACAGAGAGACAGAGACAGAGACACAGAGAGAGACAAAGAGAAAAAGAGACACAGAGACAGAAAGACAGAGACACAGAGAGAGACACACACAGAGAGAAAGTAATTTTTAAAAGAAGTTGAGCCTTTGCAGATACAGTTGGCTAGGAAGGCTCTAAGACCCATGTCCTACAGAAGAGGAGACACAGAGGCAGAGAAAAGCCATGAGAGGATGGAAGGCAGAGACCAGATGCCAAAGAACGCCGAGGACCGCCAGCATCCAGCAAAAGCAAGGGGAGCAGCCTGGGATAGAGTCTCCCGCAGAGCCCCAGAGGAATAGACCTGCTGATACCTCTAATTTAATACTTCTAGACCCGTGAGGAAGTAAACTCCTACTATTTAAACACACACGCATACAAATTAACTAAACATAAAGCTATATACACATATACACAGAGAGACAGAAAACAGTGGACTGCAAAAAGAGGGGACTCATTGTAGGTAAAGGCTACAGAGGACCCTGTATCAAAAGAAAAAGGAACTTCAATGAAAATCTTTTGTATCTGTCATAGAGGTAAGGTTCTTGATTGTGACAGATTTGACATCCAGGCCATGCTCCACCCTGACGTGAGCTGGGTAACTGTGACCCTCCCTCAGACCAGTCTATTCTGGGCCACCAGCAAACCAAGTTTCTTGGCAATACCATTATTTAGCCCCTTCTCGGCCACAGTGGCCAATCCTCTACAGAAATCGGAGTGAGAAAGATCCGCCCACACAGAGCCTACCCTGAGAAGGAGTCCCATATAATGATGAGGCAGTCTGGCCCTTTGTCTGCTGTGGCGATCCATCGCCTGTCTTCACTGACACAGAGGCAGGAGATGATATTAGGGTGGCCCTAGGGAGAAGAAGAAGACAGTTTTAGAAACAATAAGGATAGAGCCTAGTGTGGCCCTCAAGGAGGGCTGGGTCCACAGAGCCCTGAGCGCTTCCAAAAGCTCGCCTGCCTGAGTCACTTCCACGGGCCCTCCCTAATCTGTCAGTCAGTGGTCGGGGGTGGGGCAGGGTTCCCACGCTTTCTCTTCCTCCATGAAGCTGAAGGAGCTGTACTCACCAAAGGATTAGGTACTCCCTAGGGATGGAGTTAAGTGGCCAACTCAACCAGGACCTCTGAACTCCCTGCTGGCCTTGTGCCCCACAAACACTACTAACCTTGGATCGCTGAACATTGACTCTGCAAGTCACCCAGTCATCTCCCCAAAAAACAAATCCAGAAACATACTCAAAGAGGACAGCATTCTTCCCCCCCCCCAAAAAAAAAAAACGGGTTTCTTTGTGTAGCCCTGGCTATCCTAGAACTCACTCTGTAGTCCAGGCTGGCCTTGAACTCACAGAGATCCCCTGCTTCTGCCTCCTGAGTGCTGGGATTAAAGGCGTGCGCCACCACTACTGCCCAGCTTGATGACAGCATTCTTGTAGGACTTGGTCCCCGCTTTTCCTCCCCTGCCGTCTAATCTGTACCAGTCACCCTGACAGTCTTCTCTGGCCCTCACACACAAGGCCTTAGCCCTGGAAGCTGCTTCCATCTGGAAAGGTCTTCCCCAGACTGTCCTGTTGGTTCATTTTTAGGTCTCGGCAGAAACAGGACTTTCTTGGGCCCCGCTAGTTAACCTAAGGTTTCTCACATCCCGGCTTCCTTAGTACACCTCCCCATCTCCTCTGAATGCTGACTCTGTGCCCCTCTGTGTATGTGCCCTGCTTCAATGCCTGTTTATCTCACAGACTGGGAAATCCATGAAGATGGGGCTAGGTCAGTTTTGTTCACGGCCACAGGCAATCTGAAACTCAGCAGTAGTTAGGATACAACTACATTGTGAAGAGATGGTCAAGATCAGCCCTCATTGCACACTGGCAGGGCTAGGCTCTTGTGGGTTATGCTATACCCATCTAAGCTGCTAGCCCATCCCAGCTACCTTCCCTCTTGATTCCTGTACATGGAGACACCAATGCTTAATCCAGCTTCAATGGGACTTGCTCACTCACTGTTTTTATCAGAAAGGAAAGGCCTCAGGCTGCATCCCTGGGGTGCTTGGGAAATCCTTCGTGAATCTTAGCATTGAGCACAGAAGGTCCTATAGCATCACACATTCACGAAAGAACAACTAAACCATAACTAAACTAAACTAACATAACATAACTAAAAACCAGGTTAACATTGGAACAGGAGATGCTCAGAAACAGGACACTTGGGTAGGGGATGATGACAATGAAAGGGGTCAGACCATCAGGGATGCAGGAAGCAAGCAGGGTGAGGAAGGCAGGGCAGGCGTAGAGGACACCCAGGGAAGGGGTGAAATAAGAGCCACTGCGGAAGCAAGGGAAGAACAGGAGGCCACCTGAGTACTTCCAAATCCTGAGACCTAGAACCACTGCACACTAACGCAGTCTGCAGTCTGGGCGGTCACCGGCACACTCTGAGCCTGCTTCCTCTTCTGTCGCGAGGGCATACTAACACCTACTTTCCAGCACGGTCCCAGAGTCTCAGTGGCTGTGGGCCTGCGTCCCTGAGCAACCCGCCCTCCATAGCTCATCACACCTCTGGGGATACGGTCAATGCTGCCATGTTTTTTGTTTGGTCATTTGTTTTGTTTTGCTTTATTTTTGCAGAAATGTACAAAATCCAGATGTTTCCAATTCTTGAAATGTTAGAAACAACTATTGTTTGCCACTGGACACTGATTAGATTCACAGACAGTAGGCAGCAGCAGTGTGTGTGCGTGTGCAGAGGGGTGCGGGTGTGCACGCACACACCTGCCACAATGCAAATGTGGAGGTCAGAGGACAACCTATGAGAGCTGTTTCTCTCCTTCCACCATGTGGGTCTTGGGGACCAAACTCGGGTCATCAGGCTTGGAGCTTGCAAGCCACCTCACCTGCCATAGCATGTGCCTCTAAAGCAGCGGTTCTCAACTTGTGGGTGGGGACCCTTTGTCAAACCTTTATCACCAAAAATATTTACAATACGATTCATAACAGGAGCAAAATTACAGTATAAAGTAGCAACAAAAATAATTTTATGGCCTGCAGGTGGTGGCACATGCCTTTAATTCCAGCACTTGGGAGGCAAAGGCAGGTGGATCTCAGTGAGTTCGAGGCCAGCCTGGTCTAGAAAGCAAGTTCCAGGATAGCCAGGACTGTTACGCAGAGAAACCCTGTCTCGAAAAATAAAACAAAAAATTTTATAGTTGGGAGGTCACAGAAACACGAGGGTATTAAAGGGTAGCAGCATTAGGAAGGTTGAGAGCCACTGATCTAAAGGGAGAATTTTCTGGAAAAAAGGAGAGGCCAGCAGGAATGACATTGAGGCACTGAAGTCAGCCTGGGACCCAGGGGAAAATTCTATATGCAAGTTATAGGTAGGTGGCTTCTTCCAGCCTGGCCTGGTGGCACATGCCTGTTGTCCCTACAACTTCAGAGGCTGAACCAGAAAGTTTGAGAGCCCAGGAACAGTCTGAGCTCCATAGCTGAGTCCCTATCTCAAAAAACAAAAACAAACAAGCCAAAGGCATATTTCTGTTCCCGGGGAGCCGAAGCCTGCCTACCTGGAGGTGGTACTGGGTGTTCCTGAAGACACTGTAGATGACAGCAGTGTGCGCACAGACGTAGAGGATGACTCTCTGGTTCTCCCGGAGGTAGTAGACAGGGAGGAAACTGTTCCATCCAAAGGACCAGGTCATGGTCTGGAGGACAAAGACAAACAGGGCAGTGCTGAGACTCCAGCATGCCCCACCCTGCCTGCCTTTGGAGGAGAATGACTTTGACAATCGGAGAAAAAAACCTTTTTATTTGTTTGAAACAGGGTCACACGTGACCCAGGTTGACCTTAAACTCACTACATAGCTAGAGGGTGGCCTTTTACTCCCCATCATCCTGACTATTCTACCTTTTCTCAAAATTAAAAATAAATAAATAAATAAATAGATTAAAAAAATGGAGGAAGGAGCGGCAGGGAGGGAGGGTCTTTAACATCACATAAAACACTCTTTCTGGGCTGGAGAGATGACTCAGTAGTTAAGAACACTGGCTGTTTTTCCAGAGGACCCAGGTTCAATTCTCAGCACCCATATGACAGCTCACAACTGTCTGCAGGGGATCTGACACAGACATACAGACACACAGACACACGTGCAGGCAAGACACCAAGGCACATAAAATAAAAGTAATTCTTAAAAAATAAATTAAAACAAACAAACAAACAAAACACACTTTTCTGTTCTCTACTCCCCAGGTCTGAAGCCCCACTTGGTACCAACACAGAATGACTTCTTAATGTGGTGAATTCTATTACTTCCTGGAAACCCAGGACAGAAAACGTGTAATAAACCCACCCAGCAGGTTTATAAGAAAGGGAAGCATTCAGCCTTAATAGCTGATTCTTCTGCCTTGTTTTGTGTTTTTGTTGTTGCTGTTCCTTTCCGTACTTCAGTGGTAGAGTACTTGCCAAGCATGGGCAAGGCCCTGAGTCCAATACCAGCGCCACGTACATAGACTAGATAAATAAGTCTAGTCTTCTGGGAGCAATGGCAAAAAAAAGAATTTTATGAAATGAGAAACCAAAACATTCTGGAAAGGGCAAAACAACCACAACGTTGAAAATGACCAGTGCTGCCGGGGTTCTGGAAGAGGGGGCAGAGTGCACAGGGGGTGTGCAGGGGTGGACAGAAATGGCAGACGTGCAGAGTTTGACACCCCTGTCAAAGCCCGCAGAAGGCACAGCATACCCGGCTGCTAATGCCATCTGCCAATAGTAACGCTAACAGTGGCATATCGGTGCCTGTGAACATGCCACGCTGACACAAGCTGGCAATGAAAGGGGAATCTGGAGGCAGGGCACAAAGGGATGTGCAGAAACTCTACGTACTGTCCACTCAAATTTTCCCTGAGCCTGAACCTGTAAAAGCGGCGTGGAAAGTACTGGTGGTCGCGTGACAAATGGCTGAAGATCCGTGAGTTATACTGGAAGAACAAAAACTTGGCAAGCTGAATGGAGGAAGCGCATATTTCTGCCCAAGACAGACACCGCAGGTGACGTGTGCAGTGACGTCTCTCTCCTGCGGTGTTCACTCCCCAAACTTCTTGTTTCCAATCTGCCTGCTCCCTGGAACTTGCGTGTCTGTTTAGATCTCAGAGTGTGTGGGTGGGAGGGGTAGGATGTGGAATTATAATTGTCTCAAGCTGCACCTTCTAGGAACACAGTTACTTAATATCTGCCTCGTTTCTAATGCCAATTTATGCAAATGAAACTGCTCTTTTGGAGACTTGGTAATCCTAAAAGGATCATCATGCTCATCCTGAAATTTCATTTTGTCAATTCCAAATTAGTCGTGAGAAGGGAAAGAGTCCAGCCGGGGGTGGCAGTGCGTGTCTCTAACGTTGGCACTTCAGAGGTGGAGGGAAGCAGATTAGCCTTGGCTACGTAGTGAATTTGAAACCAGCCTGAGATAGACGAATAAACAAAACAAGGGCCATAAAGAGATCTCACTGGGGCTAGGCGGAGGTGGCGTACACCTTTAGTCCCATCTCTCAGGGGCAGAGACAGGTGGATCTCTGAGTTCAAGACAAGCCTGGTCTACAGAGTAAGTTCCAGGACAGGACCCAAAGCTTCACAAAGAAACCCTGTCTTGAAAAATAAAACAACAGAAAAAGAATGGTCCCTATAGGCTTATACATTTCTGAGCTTAGTCCCCAGTCGGCAGACTGTTTAGGAAGGACTAGGAGGCTAGGGCTGGGGCTACCAGGACTCCTCACTGGAGGAAGTGTGTCACTGAGGGTGGGCTTTGAGGTCCAGGTCCAGCCTCTCTTTTTCTCTCCCTGATACCTGCAGAAGGACCAGGATGTAAGCTCTTAGCTCCAGCACCATGCCAGTCCCCGTGCCTACCTGCCTGCCCACTACACTCCCTACCATGATAGCCATGAACTAACCCTCTGAAACTGTAAGCAAGCCCCCAAGAAGACGCTTTATTTTCTACGAGATGCCGTGGTCGTGGTCTCTTCACAGCGTTCCAGTGGTGACTAAGACCCCTCAGCAAAGGGGTGTGGAGGCAGGAGGATCCCAGAGGCTTGCTGGCCAGCCAGTCTGAATGGAATGATGAGCTTCAGGCTAAGCGAGAGGCACTGTCTCAAAACAAATTCAGTGGGACATGGGCAAGATGGCTCAGTGAGTGGAGGTGCTCACTGCCAGGTCTGAGGACGTCAGTTCAGTCCCTAGACTCATGTGATGGGAAGGGGAACCCGGCTTCTGCAAGGTGCCCTCTGGCTTGCACGTGTACCCTGGAGCTGTGTACATCCTCTCACAAGTAAATGCACTATAGATTCTTAAAGAAGAAGAAGTAAGGCGGAGAATAGTGGACTCACTGAAGACTGGAAGGTGTACATGGCTATAATCCTAGAACTTGGGGCTTAGGCTAAGAAAGTTATAGATTCAAGGTTAGCCTGGGCTACATAGCAAAACCTTGTCTCAAAGCAAAACAGAAAAACCATCGGGCGGTGGTGGCGCACACCTTTAATCCCAGCACTTGGGAGGCAGAGGCAGGCGGATCTCTGTGAGTTCGAGACCAGCCTGGTCTACAGAGCTAGTTCCAGGACAGGCTCTAAAACCACAGAGAACCCCTGTCTCGAAAAACAAAACAAAACAAAACAAAACAAAACAAAACAAAACAAAAAAAAACAGAAAAACCAAAATCTACTGTGAGCTGTGTACAAAGGCTGTGTCAGGACTAAATTATTTATATAGAATCAATTTTCCAGAGGCATGAATCCTCAGGAAAGGGAACAGAAGAAAAAAAAAGCAAAAAGCAAGAATGAATCCTAGCAAGCAATTTCCAGAAAGCAGCAGATGGGGAAAGAGTTGTGGGAGGAGCTTCTTCTTCCTCCTTCGCTGGGCAAACGACAATATTTTTGTGCCTCACAGATGGTGCCTCCCTGTGATACATGTCAGCAGCAGCGAGGACAGAGATTTGCCACTTTCTGATGAAGGTCTGGGGAGTTCTCAAAGTTCTCCACCCGGCGGAGGCAGAAGAGGGCAGAAGGCGTAGAAACCAAGGAGGAAGGTTGGCAGTGTCTGAGAAGGGAGCGAGGGTCAAGAGAGAAAGATGAGCGAGCAGAGGAGGAAGGAGAGGAACAGAGGGTGGGAAAGGGAAAGAGAGAGGGAAAGACGATAGAATCTCCCTCATGAAATAGCCAACGCAGCAGTCCAACTATGCCGGGAATTTCCGGCCTGCTGAGCAGTGCTATTGAACCCAGATGTCGCCATCAAGTTCCAGATCTAAGACATGGGTGCCCCCCACCTCCCAGCTCTTGACACAACTTCAAAAGACATAGTTTGTCTGAAAAGCATTAATTTAAAAAGTTGTTTGCTTGTTTCTCTGGGTTGGAGAGATGCCAACTGAGAGTCCTGTGTTTAGTCCTCAGTACTCCTGTAAATACCAAAACCGGCTAGGCAGGACAGAAGGGCTTGCTGGGGAGGGAAGGACAGGTGGGTCTTGGGAGGTTGGAGGTGGATGCCACTGGCCAGGCAGCTACTTTGCAATTCAAATTCTTTAAAAAAAAAAAAAAAGCCTAGCAGTGGCGGGTCCAACTCTAAATTTGAGGCCAGCTTGGTCTACATAGTAAGTTCCAGAACAGGCAAGGACACACAGAGAAACCCTGTCACGAAAAAACAAACAAAAGTACTAATAATAATGGGGAAGAGAGGCTGAAGAAGACACCCAAGGTTCTCACATGCGCGTGGACACGCGCGCGCGCACACACACACACACACACACACACACACAGCACAAACACACTGGAACTTCCCCGACATGCGCAGACACTCTATCTCACAGCACCGTCCAAGCCCACATGGCAGACTGTGACACTCACCAAAGGATACACCTTGGAGGCCTCCTCCTTCTGGAACAAGGTGTCCTCTGTGGAGGTGGACACCATTGACTCCTCGGGACCCCCTAATTTGAGCTGGGATAATTTTCGTCTTTCTTCCTCCGTGAGGAAGGCCAGTTCTCCAGATTCTGCTTCAGCACCTTCCGGTTTTGATTCTCGGGCTGAAACATCTGCCTCCTGGCCAGTTTCCTCCTTAACTTCCTTCGATGACCTCCTGAGAGAATCGATCTGTCCCTCCTCAGACTCAGTGATTTCATCTCTTTTGCCGCTATCTCGGAAGATCTCGCTCACTACAGGACTCTGGGAGTGAGAGGACGACTTGCTACTTCCCGAGGTTATAATCTTTAAATAGAAACAAAAGGTTCCGACCCCGCACCTAGTACCCGGTGCTGCTACATTCACCCATTTCCTGTCTTTTTCCATTCCCGATCAGCCAGCCTCGTGATAACAAGTGGTTCAAAAGAAGTCTGGGATATGTTTTTTAACTTATTTATTAATTATGTATACCGTGCTCTGCCTGCATGTATGCCGGCACTGCCAGAAGAGGGCGCCAGATCTCAGCAGGGATCACTGAGCCACCATGTGGTTGCTGGGAACTGAACTCAGGGCCTCTGCTTAACCTCTGAGCCAACTCTCCAGCCCCAGGCCTGGGACATTTTGTGCTAAAGAAATTTTTTTTAAAGATTTATTTATTTATTATGTACACAGTGTTCAGCCTCCATGTATGCCCTCAGGCCAGAAGGGGCACAAGATCTCATCACAGATGGTTGTGAGCCACCATGTGGTTGCTGGGAATCGAACTCAGGACCTCCGGAATAGCAGTCAGTGCTCTTAACCTCTGAGCCATCTCTCCAACCCCCTGTGCTAAAGAAATTAATCATGACTGTGTTCAGGTTAATTCTTGGTCTCCCAGCAGGCCCACACAGCAAAGACCATATAGTGGGCCCTGGTAATTAGCGTTGAGAATCCCACCCTTGGACCAGCACTGAGTTCTTTGTTGGGGGCAGACTGTGGGAAACACATACCGCTATTATGCCACAGGTACTTGGTCCCAAAACAAGTGTGTCTCACCTTCAGCTAATCCATTGGCCCTTTCCAAGTCAGGTATACATGTCATGGAAGCTTGCATTGACCACCCTCTTTGGCATCTCACAATTACTGTACGTAGCATGTAGCTTTCTTTTCTTTTTAGAGTGCATATGTGTTTATGTGATGTGGTGTGTGTGTGTGTGTGTGTGAGCGCACGCGTATGTGCACGTGTTTTATACAGGTGCTCAAGGAGTTCAAAAGAGGACATCAGATTCCCTGGAGCTGGATTACAGGACACGTCGTCAAGGGTGCTGGGAACCCAACTCAAGCCTTCAGTAAAAACAGCAAGGGCTCTTAACCTCCATGTCACCTCCCCAGCCCCAGGATTGTCTCTTACTTTGGTTTTGTACCCCACAGTCTGACATACACTAAGCACACAACAGATGCTCCCAGATGGATGGGGAGGTGACTTTGTCTGCACTCACCAGGGAAGATGCTGTGGTGGATGACTCAGAGCTGATGGTGATATCATCTAGGCTGAATCGTTTTGGGGGCTTCTTTGCCCCTTCTTCCTCAGCGCTTCCAATTTGTTTCTCGGTTTCTTTTATGACAGTACCTCCCTCTCCTTCCTCCCTACTCCTCTCTTTCCCCTCCTCTTTTCCTTCCTGCCCTTCCCCCTTATGCTCCTCCTCTCCCCTCTCCTTGTCCTCCTCCTCACCTCCATTTTCCTTACTTTCCTCTTTTTCAACTCCCATCCCCTCACCTTTTTCCTCTTCACCTCTCTCCTTTTCCTCCCATCTCTTTTCCTCTTCCTCACCCATTTCCTCTTTCTCCTCTCTCTTTTCCTCTTCCTCCTCTCTCATTTCCTCTTCCTCACCTCCCACTTCCTCTTCCTCACCCATTTCCTCTTCCTCACCTCCCACTTCCTCTTCCTCACCCATTTCCTCTTCCTCACCTCCCACTTCCTCTTCCTCACCCATTTCCTCTTCCTCCCCTCCCATTTCCTCTTCCTCACCCATTTCCTCTTCCTTACCTCCCACTTCTTCTTCTTCCTCGCCTCCCACTTCCTCTTCCTCGCCTCCCACTTCCTCTTCCTCGCCTCCCACTTCCTCTTCCTCACCTCCCACTTCTTCTTCCTCGCCTCCCACTTCCTCTTCCTCGCCTCCTACTTCCTCTTCCTCACCTCCCACTTCCTCTTCCTCGCCTCCCACTTCCTCTTCCTCTCTCATTTCCTCTTCTTTCCCTCTTTCTTCCTCCCCTCCCACTCCCTCTTCCTCCCTTTTCTCTTCCTTTCCTCTTGCTTCCTCTCCTTCTATCTGCTCCTCTTCCTCCACCCATTTCTCCTCCATCTCCTGAGACTCCTCCCATGATAATGTGTCTCCAGTCAGGCTCTGCTGCGGATTTTCTTCTTCGTGATTTGGATTATATTCCTCCTCTTCATTTTCTGTTTCTACACTTTCTTCCGCATCTGACATCCTTCTGTAGTTTCCTCTAGAACAATTGTAACAGACTCAGCAAGCTGGCCCTCTTCCTCCCGCCCCGGCTTCCTGCTAAGTTGACACATTGAAATGCATGCAGCAGCTCTGGTCCTTCCTGTGGGGGCTTTCTACTCCCCTCATGCCGTCTTCTCGAGAAAGCCAGCTCAAATCTTAAAAAATCTTTGAACTATCAACTCCCGGGCCTCCCGTCTTTCTAGGAATGATCTTAGCATCTTCCTACTCACTCCAGATAATTCATATTCCCATAGGCAGCAAAATGCATAAGGCAGACATTAGCAAAAACCCCCGTGCTAGGAATGCGAGAGTGGCATGGGCTGGTGACCGAAGTGTGGGCTTCACAGTCGAAGGTTCTCTCCACACCCACGTCCACCACCCTTGTTCTGTGACAGGAAGCAAGTCATTTTTCCTTCCAAGGTCAATTTGCTCACAGACAAAAACAAAAACGATAATACTAAATTCTAGTATGATTTGAAGACTGGGACCACACAGGTCAAATGCTCAGAACAGATACAGCCAAGACCTTGCAAAAAAAAAAAAAAAAAAAAGTAGGGGCAGGTATTAGGGGGATAAAAGCAACTCTGCTTTTGCAAAGTACGAAAAAGCTTGAAAGTCTTCTGGGGGTAGATGAGACGCCAAGTCTTACAACCTGAGGTAGACAGACCCCCAAGACTCACATGGTGGAAGGAGAAAACCAACTCCCAAAGGTTGTCATGTGATCTCACCACATACAGCATGTTGTGTGTGCCCCCCCCAAATAAATATAATTAAAAATTTAATTCTGGCTGGAGAGATGGCTCAGTGGTTAAAAGCTCTGGCTACTTTTCCAGAGGACCCAGGTTTGAATTCCAACCCCTACACCGGCTCACAACCATATGTAACTCAAGAGCTAGTTCTAGGACAGGCATCAAAAACTACAGAGAAACCTGTCTCGAATATCCACAAAGGAAAAAAGAAAAAGCGCTGCTATGAGATCCAGTGTCAACTATGCCAGTGCGCTAGCCCGGACAACTTCTAAGCCCAGGCAGTGCCGGGAGAGGGTCAGGATAGCGCGTGTGTCTATCCTTGAACTAGGTCCAGGCACCACCAGTTCCTCTTTCTGGGGTGCCCTAAGTCCCACAACCCTGCCCTACCTGAGCGGGACCCCCACCCGGGCTGTGCCCGCCACTTTGTACTTACAGGGGCGTGCCCACTTCGTTCCTCAAAATCCCAAGCGGCCCAGAGTCTTCTGTCCACAAACCCTAGTGACGGTTACCAACCAAGCTCTGTCTCTATGGCAACAGCTACGAACCCCAGGCCGGAAAGGGAGGAAACAGGATAGTGGTCACAGGCCCAGCTAGACTAGCCTGCCCCCTGCCGGCTTCCGGACGAGCAGTTCACCCTCTTGATTTTCCTGAGAGAGCCTTCGGAAGAGCTTCATTCAACACTGGCAGTTCTTCCCGAAGTTGGACAAAATGAAACCAAGTCATGTTTGAAGTTATTTTCTCCAAATTGGGGGATTTGGGCAGGTAGAGGAAACGGGGACATGCTCCAGAAACTCAGATAAACAAATAACAACCCTGAAGGGTCAGGAAGTCCTTCCCTAGGTCATCAAAGAAGGTTTTTGTTGTTGTTATTGTTTTTGTTTGTTTGTTTGTTTTAAAAAAAAAAAAAAGGGCAGAGACTGGCAGACTGCTGTGAGTTGAGAGGCCAGCCTGGTCTACAAGAGCTAGTTCCAGGACAGGTTCCAGAGCTGCAGAGAAACCCGGTCTCGGAAAAACTAAAAAAAAAAAAAAAAAAAACACCTGGAGCATCCTCCTGGCAATGTGTGGCATAACACACCTGGGAACCCAAAACTAGGGGGATGAAGACAGTTCAGTCAGCCTGGGCTACGTAAGACTTTCCTGGGGGAAAGGGGACTCCCGAGTGGAGCTGCGTGCCAGCTGAACATCCATCCGCAGTCCGGTGGGGCTATCACTGTGGTAGGAGGACTCCCCTGTAAGTAAACCCAGCCGCCTTGCAGACTGTGTGTGTCCACTTCTCACCAGGGCAGGGCATGCATAGGGACTTAGCTAACTGGGATTGGAGTTATGTGGAATGTGTATGATCTTCCTGTTATCCCAGAGTTTCTGCAAACCCACCTTGGTTCAATCCATTAGGGTCATTCATGTCACAGCCACTCACAGAAGAGCCCAAAGGTGGCTGTCCTGAGCTGCCCATGGAGAGGCCCGCAGGAAACACTCGGCTACTGCCACTTTAGGAAACATGAATGACTCCCACGAGCGCGCAGCCATGCCCCAGCACTGGCTGGTTGATCATGCGCAGATCTCATGAGGGATGAACTGAATGGTGCAAGCTGTGTTTATTATAGTGCAGGGCTTAGAAAGGCTGGGAAATAGTTGGAATCATAGCCTACAATTTAAACAGCAAACACTGGTAAACACAGCACGTCTGGCTACAAGCGAGGAATACATAAGGCTGGCTGGCTCAAGTAGTTTGGGGAGGCTCAGGTTGAGAATGAAGACTCAGGGCGGGAAGCACACGCCAATACCGACTGCCTCCATCCTGAGCAATCCAACCCAAGGACTCGAGCTCCATCTCAGAACGTGCTAGACCTCAAAACGGCAACTGGGGAAAATGAGCGGGGTACATGGGAAAACAAGTCACTAGGACTCACCCATACCGATGTTACCCCTTAAAAGACGGAAGATAAACATGTTCACCTTGGCAACCTCCAGCACACCCTAACTTCTCAAGCTGCCGACCCCATGGCAAGGCCAGGGCTCAAATATAAAAGTCAGGCTGGGGGTGGTGGTGCAGGCCTTTAATCCCAGCACTAGGGAGGCAGAGGCAGGCTCTACATAGCAAGTTCAGAGAAACCCTGTCTTGGGGAAAAAAAAAAAAAAAAAGTCCAATCAGGAGCCATCTGCAGGGTCTTTTATTACAGAAGTAAAGGGAGCTTGCTGCTCTCCAGCAGGTCACTGAAGAGGAAGCCATCACCATCCCAGGTAACCTGTGAGGCCTCCTGACCTTTGCTAACCCCTTCCTGGAACTCTGGATATACAGAGCCAACTTCAGTGGATGCACGCATAGAACTCTAGCGCCTTCTCTACCCAGGGTAGGACCGCTCCAAGCAGAGATGCTGGCCAGCTGCTGACGTCAGGGGCTGGAAGATGTGTAGCCCCACAGGAGAACGCTTGCCCAGAGTATGAGCTCTAGGTTTCGGCTTCCAGCACAAGATTCAACTTGACTGCAGCCCAGGACCAGTTTGCTTTGCCCAACTTTCTTTCCAACTCCTTCTGAGCTTGGTTTGAGGAGCATAAGAAATCCAGGTGGGATGTACAATGGTCACAATTACCACTATAAAACTAGGTTTATTTGAAAAGAGAAAACCTATGCAAGGAGCCAGAGTTGGTGGCATACACTCAGGAGACTGAGGTGGGGAGACCCCAAGTTTAAGGACAGTACTCATAAAGGGACCCTGACTCCAAACCCCACCCCCACAAGAGGAAATGCCTAGGCAAGGCACACTGCACTTAGGTGTTGGAGGCTGAAGGACTAAAAGTTCAAGACCATCCTGAGCGAATCTGAGGATGGGCTGGGCTACATGAGACCCTGCTTCAAAGGAGGGGGGACACTTAAGACCCTGTGGCTGTTAGAGGTGAGGTCTCCGGTAGGTGGAAGACCCCACATCCATAAGTGTGTGGGCAACACAAATTGCACTCAGTAGGTTATTTATTAAAAAAAAAAAGACATGAAGCTGGGAGTGGACATGAGGGAGATCTGGGAGGGACTGAGGTGTGATTAAATAGGAGGGGAAGAGGCCATGTGGAGGTATTCTCAAACACTTAAGTAAAAATTATGTATGTATAACAAATAGCCCTCAGGGCTGAATCAGGCATGGTGGTGCATACCTCTAACCCCAATACTCAGAATGCAGAGGCAGGGGGATCTCTGTCAGCTCAAGGCCAGAATGGTCTACACAGTGAGTTCCGGGGGAGCCAGAGCTACACAGTGAGACTGTCTCAAATAAGAAAATCAAGTCGGATCATTACCTGACAAAATCATTCCAACTCACTGGTCAATGGACAGAACCCCCAGACAGGGCTATGGCCTATTTCGCACAAGACTTAGCTAGGCACAAATCACGTTTTTAATGCCTCAATCCAGGGAGATTACACTGAAGGCCAGAGAGGGTCCTCCACCATGATGCTCCGGCTTTCCCCACTCTCTTCCAGATCCTTACACTTCAGAGACTGAGGAGAATGAGGAAATCCCTACCAGACCCAGAGCAGGGCCCGGCTGCAGCAGCTCTCTTGCAGGTCCCTGGGGACAGTCATCTCTGGAGAGGGATAATGTTGCAGCTGGGAAAGAAAACACAGACACGGGTCATGCTTGATGGCTCCATCCAGCAAGACCAACAGCTGAAGCAGCTTCTGGGCTGTTCATCAACACTTTTCCTCTTTTTAAAAAAACTTTGTCTTTATTTTTTTAATGACTTGTTTAGTTTATGCACATTGGCGTGTTTGCTTGCACCTATGTCTGTATGAGTGTGTTAGATCCCCTGGAACTGGAGTTACAGGTAGCTCTGAGCTGCCATGTGGGTGCTGGGAATTGAACCCAGGTCCTCTGAAAGAGCAGCCAGTGAGTGCTCTTAACTGCTGAGCCATTTTTCCAGCCCAAAACTGTATTTTTCAATTTATTCACTGTGTACGTAAGAGAGTCTGACAGTGTGTGCCACGAACAACTTGCAGCAGTCAGGTCTCTCCTTGGGTGTCACACTCAGGTCACTGGGCTCGGCAGAAAGTACCTTTACCTGCTGAGCCTGCCTCTTAAAGACGATGCTCAGGTAATAAGAGAACCAGACTCTTAGGCAACTGAGGACTCACTGCCCCTTGCCCGCGTGAAGGAGTGAAGCAGACCATTACCCCAGCAGTCCTTTTCCTGCCCAGCGTGTTGGCGTCAGTCTGAGCTGGTGTCTCTCCCCTCTGCGGATCACCGTCACATTCAGGGGCTTCTGAAAGGCAAATAAGGTCACTCTGGCCTCAGCGTCCCTAACACTCAAAATGGACTCAAGCTGAAAAGCCACTTCCTGACCTATAAGAAATTACAGAGCATGGGCTCCTAGCTGGATTCCTAGCTGGACGGGGTCCTGAAGGTGGCATTAAGGGGCTGAGTGCAACTTCAAAGCACAGTGGTAGGGAGTAGAGTGATGATCTGAGTAAGAATGTCCCCAGGTTCGTGTGTTTCACCCTGGGCCCTATTTGGGACCATATTAGGACACAGCCCCAGGTGCTACAACTGCCCCCCAAACCTGCTCTAACTAGTACCAGCGAAATTTCTAACACAAACTCTCCCCAACTTGGGAGGTACAGCAGCTCCTGCTGTTCCCCAGGAAAAGAAGACAATTAATTTCCACTGTGAGGCACTCCAAGGCTGGCCTGAGTGGCCGGACACCTGGCCACCTCCCTGCTCCACCCCTGCCCTTCTCTCCATTCTCGTGGTTCTGGGCTCCAACAACATCCTCTGGTTGCTCTGCTTTTCCTGCCCTCTCGGCCTCTGAACCGGCCTGAAGGCTCCTCTGGTGGCCGCCCTACCTGATCAACTTCTATACACACCAACGCTCCGTCCTTCGGAACACTCTCCTTCAACCCCAAACTACATCAGGGACCCCACTGCTTTCCTCCAGCCCTCCTGTGATGCTTTTCTAACACTTGTCAGGGTGAGAAACTGCATGCCTAGGATTAGTGATTAATGTCTGCCCCCATAATGTGCTCTCCATCAACGCCAAGGACCAGGACTGTCTCCTTTTGTTCCCTCCTGGACCCCAGCCCCCAGTCCGGAAGGGGGCACACACAGGGGAGATATTGAGGGAGAGACACAGGGCTTTGATTTTTACTTTAAACATTTTTGCACAATGTGATTTTGTTTGCAAAGATAAATAGGCATTATATTTATTACTGAGACACAATTTGCATATAATAAAGAATATGGCTCAGTGGGTTTCCTATACTCAGAGAGCTATAGGCCAGCACCATTATCCAACTGCAGAATGTTTGCATCATCCAAAAGACCGTCAGTAGTCAGTCCCCATCCTCGGTAACCACCAATCTCCCCTCTATCTCTCTGCGTCATGCATCTGCTTTTTAGACAGTTTCACTGAGTGGAATTAGATGGCCTTGTGCTACGTCTTTCACTTTGAATCATGTTTTCAGTATCCATGTTGTAACAAAGAACTCACTACATTCCTATAGCTAGCTGAACTAGTTTATTATAAATAGTTATACTTAAAAAA